ACAAAGACTGGTCTATCGATAGCTACAGGCTTGACATAATTCTGCCCATACTCCTGTAAATGGTGAGTTTGTAAGCTTGTCTATAAAACTTTAAGTGGCATAATTCTGAGGTCACACCCACACTGGTGCATAAGAGAGAATGTGATCAATTAGTGATGTCTGCCAGGGGCACAGGAATGGGCAGGGGTCAGGGGGAATGTAAGATCAAAAAGGTGTCAAGAAGGTTTGCCACCCTAATTTAGGCAGAGGGTTTGAATCCTTGTGTAGCTGTCATGTGAACAGAAGCCTGCCCAATACATTAAAAGTTTACTCTATAGTGAATTGTATGTCCAGAAAAATGTGTGCATAATCCCATAAGGGGCTTAGAGAGGAATGGAAAATATCTGTAATATAAATGCAGATTACCTTTATTACAAAATTGGATCATATTCTCATTCCTAGACTAATTTCCTATATCATAAAACCTATATTCAATTTTATAAATAGCATACACCAAGAATCATAAATTCAGTTAATGCAGAAATTTAACAGAATTTTTTTAATAAAAGTGAGGAAAGGCTGTTTCAGAGCAAGTATCTGAAAGGACAGAAAGAGTTCTTTCTTTGAAGATATGTTTTTCCCTCTGACTCTACCTCCTTGGGGACATAACTAGAGAAGAAATAAATTTCACAGCTAATATATACGAAGTAACAAGTTTAACATTATCCAATGAATTTATATCTACCTGCACCATATAAATTTATCTCACATAAACTGTCACCTCCAACAGAATTCATTAAAACAATGTTATAGCTTCTGAATTAAATGCAATCTTCTAATTGGAATTTAATCTTACAGTAGAAGTTGGTGGATTTCCTTTTTTAATTGACAAACAGAATAATTCATTAGTTTGTCTTACTGTTCTGTCTGAAGAATTTAAAAGTAAATTTCATACAGGGATTGGCCCGGGCACCACTGTGAGGTGTTGGTGGGGGTGTGGGGGGCGGGGAGGCTCTTTCCACCTTCAGACCTCCTCCTGCTGCTTATGGGAAGGAAAAGGATGGACACTCTGCTCCCACCATCCTGAATTACTACATTACTAATATATTCCATTACTGCCACGTAAATGTCATCTTAATTTCTGATCTTCATCAAGCAGACAATGTTTCCACCTTGGCCCCTAGCCAATTAGCTACATGGCAAATATTCAGCCAATTACATTACTTCTATTAGGTTAGGGGCTGGAGAGAAAGGCAAAATAAATGCCTCAAAAATCCTTCAGAGATAAAATGTAAGTTGACACTGTCTTCCACGCTGGAGCCCAAATTATACAATCTGATAGGCAGCTGCCAGCACTCATAACTTATTAAATCTAGCCCCTCTTGATGGCATGGAGCAGAGATCTGTATTTTCACCAATATTAGGTTCACTGTGTTACGAAAGAGGCCAAAATACTTAAGTTCATTTGTGCCAGCTTATAAAACACATTATATAGCTTATTAAGTTGTTAAAATTACTTTTCAAAGTCAAAATTTCGGGGACTAGAAATTTAAGCACAACAAAGTGGCTTGGCCCACAGACAGGTTCCAGCACAAGGTACCTCAGAAAAGGGGCCCATCAGCTGGCTTTCCTGTCCTGAAACACCTACTAACCATCCCCACTTTTTCTCAGAAGCTGCACCATGACCATCACCCACCCCAAAAACCAATGACAAAAAAAAATCCACATGCTCAAGTTGTATGAAAAAGAAAGGAACCCCCACCCAAAAAATATCTCATGATCAAGTCCTCAGTGAGGGGAGATTTTCCCTCTTCCCAGTAGGGTTAAACGCCTGGAATTTGATTATGAGAAAGATTTAAAAAAAGGAAAAACAACTGGTGACAAAACAATGTCACGATGCTGACGCTCCTACACCAGCAAGGGACGATTTGTTGGTCGGGACAGGGCAACACCAGGCACAGACTGACTGGCAAGCCAGCATGTTTGCTATCCACAGCCAACGCTTCTCAGGAAAACTCTACGCAAATCCAGACAGTTATTATCACATTTATTAATAACACTGTGGCTAACTGCCTATTAAATATGCAACAGACTCAGCCACTCTTCACTCTTGGGCCTCGTGATGTGCATCAGATAGGTGCCCATGTCAAATAAAGCTTCAAGCCGGGAGAACAGGAGCCAACTCTGATTCCCTGCAGGCAAGTGGCGGCATGAAAGACCACATTATGGAACAGAGACCTCAAGGGTTCAGCCCTTCTTTCTCTGTGTCCTGCCCCTACGTTAATTAATCATGAAGGCACGGTTATCACCAACATAGAGCACATTACCCATTTCCTGACCTTAAGGTTTTGTTAGAATGCTCTGCTTGTGCAAACTTTTTCTCAGATGGTTTCATTTCCTTGCATTTGACTGTGGCGATTTCTTGTTCTGGCTGCTACCCTTGAAACTGTGATCCTGTCCCACCATGAGGACAGTTCCATGAAACAGTTCACTCAGAAATAGAATTTACCTCAAGCCTTTTGAAGACTCCAAATTACCAGCTGCAACAATTAATTTGGTGCTTCGTTTGGTTACTCAATAAACTGCAAAGTTCTAAAAGCCATAGCACTACGAATATGTTTTTGATAATAGAGAGACTAACTTGCTATCAGATACGCACCGCATGGAAAGTTGGGTTATTACATCCTGGAGGAAGAGAATTAGCCCACTGAGCAAACCAGGAGGCGTGCTTTGAGGAAAAACGGAAGACAGAAAATCGAAATACACACTCCGGCTCGTCGGATTTCAGGGACCTCTACTTCCTACTAAACGTGGTGCAGAGAAGTTTATTACAATATAATAAATATAACACACATCCTCATTTATACAAAACTGGAATTCAACTGGGCCTAAAGTACATTCTATCAATTCAAAAGAGATATCGTTTTCATCACAGCTCTTCAGATTGATTTTTCAAGTAGGCCAATGAAACTAATGAATAAAATGAGCCTAGTCTTCAATAAATCCATTCATGTGGTTTTGCTAAATTTCATACATCAATTTTATGATATAGGGATTGAGTCAGACACTCAATTCTGAAGACAGAGTTGAGTCCATTGGAGTTTGCACTCCAACAACGAGAAGACTATGAACACAATTCCAACCACCCTATGAATTCTCGTGTGTGTATGAGATAGACCCAGGCTTTGTTCTCAGCTCTACCTGGATCCCCAAAGATAAAATTTTTCATGACACACGCTATCTGCTCATGCATCAACAGACCATTCACACAAGTCTATTGTGGTTGTGCAGCGGTGGAAGAACCTCAGCTGAACTGAAGGAGCCAAAGGTCTTGCCCAGCCAAGACCACCCAGTAAGATGATCACAGATGGCTAAGAGCTCTGTAACCATGATTCCATTAACCATTTCTTCCCACTGTGGATAATACCCTTGCCTTATGTGCTACTGTTTGCTATTTGCCTTATTTCTCAGCAATGAAAGAAAAGATACTATAAGGAGGATGGAGACTTTATTTGTCATCTGTCTGAGACTGCAACAGAATGGAATGACAACTAGCCTAAGTGGAAGTAAATTTTAAGCCCACAGCCTCTGAGGATCCCTCTGGTGTCTATTATTCAGGCAGGTGCTACATTAGAGTTCTTTTTTTCTAAGTCTATGAAAGGGGAAGGAGGGCTAAATGACCTCTGTAAAATCTTAAAAAATTTGGCCCAAATAGCTGCGTGTATAACAATGTCTTCAAGAGAGTCTTATCATCAGAAAAGGTTTACCAAGCCACACAGGCTGGATGTCTCAGTTGCTACAACTGAGGGCCAAAGAACTAGGCTTCAGTTCTCACCAAGCCCAGAGACTTAGACATCTACACTGGACTCTACGAGCTTGAGCCACACTCCATCTATAAAATGAAGGCGTTTAAATAGACAAGTCCAGGGCTTTGTTAGTAGAAAGACTCACATATGGGTCATTCTAACCTACCTACTATATTTAAAAACAGGAAATCAAAACAGAGACTAACTTGCCCCACATCAGGTAACTATCAGGTCTTTCCATTTCTAATATACTGCTCTTTCTCCTTCACTACAATTCCCTCTGTTAAACAGAATCTCTTGTAAATACAATTCCACTAGGACAGATGAGATGAGTTTACGCCAGTGGTGCTTATCATTCAGCATCAAGAAATGCAAAACCTGAAACAAAATGGCTCCTCACAAAGTGTGCCTCCTTCTATGACAAAGCACCACTGAATGATGTCAGAGTTTTTGCCTAAAACACTTCAGAAGCCCCAACCAATTATGATCTATGAAAAGGCCAAGTTACCATCATTCATTCACTACTACAGGGGAGCCATCGACTTCTGAGGAATGTAATAGATATCATCAAATATGTGAAAGGCATGTAACAGAAAAAGAACATCACATCCCTGCCAATCTCCCCCTAAAAATGACAATGAATAACCTGAGAAGGTGAACAATGACAGAAAAAAAATCGCCCATAGTTTTTCTGCAAATCTTTAAGAGTCTAAAGTACCATTCTCAAGAACCCTAATCATGTAGAAGGCTTGGAATGGGATGCTGTCAATGAAAAAAAAAAAAATCAGACTTAGATTTCCAAAACTCAAGGTGAGATCATTATAGCTTTACTTCACGGTGGCTCATTTTACCATTGAGATGTGATGGGACCAAAAAAGCAATTACTCTTTTACTTGTACATACGGTTCATGATTTAGATAGCCCACGCTTCAGAGTGCAATTAAAAGAAACATACAAACAAATAAAGTTCTCCTGTGTTCTATTATCCCTTTTATAAACCCTAAGATGATCACAGGAGTTATCCAAAAAGATTATGCCAGGAAACAATGACAGAGTTTGTTCCATCTTTCAAAATAAGAATCTCTCATCTTCAGTGTGCAATTGTTCTGATGAACACAGGACTTTTTACCAATTTCCTGCACCGTGCAGGACCCCTGCGATAGACCTTCGGTCTTGTGAATTTTCAGACGAGTAATCATAAAAACATTTACTCACCCTTTCGGCCAGCAGGCATCACATCCACCCATTCATGATTGACAGCAAATCGGAAAAGAGATTGCAGCCCGCACCATGGCCCAAATGTTTCATTCGGAAACTGGAATTGTCAGCAAAAGCTCCTGGGACACTGCAATACAAAAATATTTTTTTACACATAACTAAGATGTAACTTCTAAAACCACCACTTCCTTAAACTTGAAAACATCGAGACAGACATAGAATCTAGAGGTAGGGGAAAACACCTTCCAAATGAGGGTATGTCAGTATATCAAGTGTGATGCTGTAAAATATGAACCGGAAATACTTTCAAATGCTTTGAAAGCTACACTTACCAATTACTTCAACACATGCACGAAAAAGTTGTTGTTTACTGCCGACTCTGCACCAAATATTCTTCTGGCATTACAGGAATATCACATCCTCTTATAAAGTGCTCCAGTAACAATAAGCTGTTTTAACTTGAATCTTACAAGGATAAATGTCCCATTTCTTATGATGCAATTATCTTTTCAGAGGATGAAAATATTAAACAATAGTGATTTTAAATTATTTTAAAAATAGTAATGAACCTCAAAACTAGTTGAGAGGTAACCATGATCCTTTTTTCTTCCAAAATAATTCTAAACATGTTTATGCATTACATAAGGACCAAGACTCATGGAGATATTTCTATCAAAAGAGAACATATTATGCAACATGCTGGCATCAAAGTGCAGAAGCCTGAATTCTGGATCCAGTATTGCCACCAATCATGGGGCCCCAGGAAGGTATTTTAAATCTCAGAATTCCAGTCTCTTCCTCTATAAGGTCAGGGCATTAACTGATGCCACCTAAGTCCCTTCTACCTCTTAGCTTCTCTGTCTTTCTTGATAAAGCATACTCATTTTAAATATCCTAGATGATTAGCTGCTCCTTGAAGCTTCCAGTCAAGAAGATTTTTACCATGTATCACTTATGTCAATCTGCCACCAACTGTAAAGATGTGCAGTAGTCAGAGGGTGTTGCAAATGCACAGAATTCTCACCCGGGCACCGGTGTTCAACCCTGGTGAGCTGTCACCTTGGTGGCTAATAGATCCTGCACGAGCCCAGGAAAGACTTCCATTCCTTTAACAGAGGACAGCGCCAACTCCTATAGAAATCCATTCATATGTATTCTAGATGAGTGTTTCTTGAACATTAACTGCAGAAGCATAACTCAGACAGCTTTTCAAAATACAGATTCCTTGGCCCCACCTCCAGAGATCCTGATTGAATGGGTCTGGAGTGAGGCCTGAAACCCTGCATTTCTGCTCTACTAGGAAATGCTGCTGCTGCTGATCATGGACCACAGTTCGACTCCAAACGACAAAAAAAAGCCCCACTCTCTAAGCTGCAAGCAACCCCGAGAAGCATTTCCAAGGTTCTCCAAAGCTACTGAGTCAAGCAGCAAAAATAAATGGGCTGCAGTTGTGCACCGTCTTTAGGAGAAAATCCAAACTGCTTTCTGTGGCCTAGAAGGCCTTGCATAAATCTGGTCACATTCTCTCTCTCTCTGCTGCGGCCTCCAGCCACTAATCCAATCCCCAACTACAACCCAGAGGCAGCGGCCTTCCTTCCAGTTCAAGCAAGCAAGTGCTTCCTGCCTCAGGGCTGGTGCACCTGCTTTTTGTGAGCCTACCACTTACACAACTGGTTCCTTCCCATCACTGGGTCTTTGGGGCAAAGGCCACTTTACAAGGGCTGTCCTGCCTACCTTCCTGGGCTGAGTCCCCAGTGACTCTCAGTGTTGGTTTACTCCAGGGCTCTAATCAAAATCTACAGACGTTTTTCTCATTTATTCACTTGTCTTCCTCACAATAATATAAGCTCCACCACATGACAGAGAATCTCTGTTGCATTCCGTACTCTACTCCGGAACTTAAGAAAAACACCGGGCTTACAGTAGGGACTTCACATAGATTTACTGGGTCAACAAGTAAATCAAAATTTGGAAGAATTAATTATTCAGGATCTTACAAAAATATTCCCATAAACTGAAATCTCACTATGACTATGTGCTGGATACTATTTAAAGTATTTCACTACAGTTAGTTCATTTAATTCTATTCTCATGACAAAGCTGCTAGAAGATACTCTTATAAGCTCAGTATGTTGATAAGAAAACTGAGGCACAGAGAAGTTTAGTCACTTGCCCCAAATCACACAGTAGCAGGGGCCTGCCTGGACAAAGTGTGCACTCTTAAAAACTCCATATTTTTCTGGCCAACACACTAATACAGAAGTTCTGAGGGCCTGCTGTGTACTAAACACTCTTCTGACTCAAGTTCGCTCAGTGAGTTTTGGCGGCTAGGCCTGGTAGAGAGTGCCTAAGCTTTCTGATCCTGAGCTTCCTTGTTCAGACAGGGCAAGCTAAGGCACCCTACCCATGAGCAGGCAGATAATGCAAATGAGCAAAGCCAGCCAAGAGTAGGGCACAGGAGCAGTGAGGACTGTGGTGCACTGGGAGACCTGGACTTCTCAGTAAAGGGCGCTCCACAAGACCAGTGTCGCCACATGGGGACATAAGCCCAGAGCAACAAGCGCTTTCAATTCCACAAACGCAGGCAATAATCTACATTACTAATTTGTGAGATGTCATCATTTCTTAAAGACAGCAACCAATCTTTTCATAGAAAACATTAAAAAAAAAAAAGAAAGCCTCCTTTTCTTTTCAAAAAGAGAGAGAAAGATGGACGGATGGATGGATGGACGGAAGGAACTTGCAACCCCTGCACCAAACGATAGCTGAGGTCATAGCATGGGATTGCAGAGGGCTTCAGAGGCCCAGAGCAGGTGCACAGGTGAACACTGGAAAGCATGGGAGGTATCCAGGCAGAGAAGGGCTTTCTAGAGGAATTACCTGGAGCAACTCTGGCAAGGAACAGGAAGATGGGGTAGCAGAGGCATTCCGCCATATCAGAATACCATATTCAAAGGCCTGGAGGTGGGCAATAGGCCAGCCGGCCCCAAAACAGGAGCGAGGAGGGACAGCTGTGGGAGAGTTCACATGGGAGCTTCAATTGCCATACAGGACTGGAGAAACGGCAGGTTCTAGCAAAGACATCAGGGGGTCAAACAGTGGTCTAAGAGGAGCGGCTCTGGGGCCATCCTGCTGTACTTCCTAAAACGTGGAAGTCACCAGGCATCTCCAAAAACAAAGAACAAACTGCCACTGTGGTTTCCGGAATTTTTTTGGTTTTGTTTGTATATGTTTTGTCAAGAATCCAACAGATTCAGGACTGAATTCCACCTCTGTCAAGTTCTGTAATTCTAACCAAAATACTATATAAACAATATATATTGTAGCTCTTATACATACTTAGAGCACATATACTACAAAACACACAGTATGTGCATATGTAAACATAACATGTGTATACTATAAAATATAAGCCCTATAAACTCTAATCAAAATCTATAAATTATATATGCTGTAGTTTTATATGTATATACAGTACACATACTATATATATATACTATAACATATACACATACACACACACACATATATATATATATATACATTGTAAAATACAAGCTTCATAACTCTACTAAAACACTGAGCTCTATAAATGAAAAATACAGGAACTGAAATAAAAAAAAAATCACCATAAGAGAAGACAGAAGATACCCAAATCTGTCTACCTAGGAATTATACACCCAGAAAAATTATCTTTCAAAAATGAGGATGAAATAAAGATCTTTCCAAAGAAAAGTTTATCACCCCTCTGTACAAGGACATTCAGAAAGATGTATTTAAGGCCGAAAAAGATCTCGGGAAGGAAGTTCTCTGATTTAAGAAAGAAGGGGGAACCAACATAATGGAGAACTAGGGAATCAAAGAAAAGTAGATGCATTAAGATATTGTGCAGGCCTCAAAAAATGAAGAAGAAGAAAAAAAAGGAGAGGAACAGCCTGCCAGCCATCGCTCGCTCTTGACCCCAGCTCGCTCCCGCAGTGGCAGTATCATGACCACGCCTGGGCTGCCAACCTGACTGTACACTTCCCCAACACCCCCACAATTGAGAGATTTTCAATCAGGTCCCAGGAATCTGCATTTCTACCAGATCTCCCAGGTAATCCTGGTCAAGAAGGGCCCTCGCCTCCACGGAAGAGCACTCTTGAGCTCTTTGGGGCCAGGAATCCTGGGAGGTCATGGCTGACATCCGAGGCCTTTGTTCTTTTTCCAATCCACTCGAGCCCCAAGGTGCACCCTGGCCGAGGGTCAGCCGCAACCCTGCCAATCAGGAATTTCAATAAATTAAAAACCCATTAAAATATTTTAGAGAGAAGCCTAGAAGTGCTGAACCATTAATTGTGCTATCGCCAATCTGTTTTCCTGGAGATCTGAAAAGCCAGATTATCATCTTGGGGGTGATTAGAAAGAATGAAGCTTTCTCCCTTTTCAATCTACATATTTAAAAATGCATCTAATATTCCAGTGGTTGCTCCATGGGCTTTCCTCCCAAGTCCATGGCCACTCCACAGTCTAGCCACAGGGAAAGAAGCTTGGGGAGTGTGGGGGCCTGCCTTGTTTTTTAAAGCAAAAGAACCAAAGCGCAGGGCCTGTGGTTGCAAAACAGCTCCAGGGAAACAGGTAGAGACAGAACAACAGTGATGTTTTCTTGTTTTGTTCTCCCCTGTTTATTTTTCCCTGAAGCAATCCTTGCTCAGTACAAAAGTCTGCAGGGAGCTGGAAAGAGCAGCTGTGGTTCCCTGAGGCCAAGACCTAGCAATCAAGTTGTTTACCAAACACTGCCAGGCACCGGCAAAACAACAACAGCACAGCCAGCATTTGCATCTGTTTTTCAAAAACAACTTCCAAAAGTCTGGGGCCTGCCATGGTACTTCCGTGTAGCCAGAGGCGAGAACTTAGCAATTAAAGGCATGACCTGCATTGGGTTTTAGCCCCCGTACCCTAAGTGTAACCATCATTCCATGTCTTTGAAGAGTGCCCATCCTAAAAAAGGAGGGTTGGGAGCCTGCAGAGTTTCAAAGCAGCATATACAGACAACGTGCTCATCACTGGCATTTCTGAGCTGGCTAACAGTGGCCAGCTCAGCAAACTGACTTCACGTGCTGACCATCCACTCCCTCGAGTCATCCT